TTCCGGCCAGACACTCTTAATGTGTGGCTTTGCCCCTGTCCTGCAGACAAAGAGCAACGATGATCTTTTAACTGGAATGGCCGGAGGGATGAACGTCAGCAACGGGGTCAAAGGGGGCAAGAAGAGTATTCCTACCTCAACAGCCCCTTCTGCTGCAGGGAACACCACCATGAATCCTGCGGAGAGTAAATCAAAATCCACTGCAGGTACAGATGCAAAGATCTTTTTCTTAAGGCCACTGGGGCTTGACAAGCAAGGGACGTTGGCTGCACGGTGCTATCCCAGAGGTGTTTCTTCAAGAGGCAACTGGACTTTCTGGCTTTTCTTTGAAGACTTTTCACTTCTCGTCCAAGAAGCTTCTTCAGCTCTGACTGGATGGTGGGATATGGAAGGATTTATACTCTTTGGAGACAGCTGGACATTTGCATTCTTTTCGGGAGGTGTTAAGGCCAGCTGGAGGTTTATCTCTCATCAGGGTCACCTGAGTGGTGGAAATGGGTGTGGAGCCTTCTTGGAACTGTTGTTGTAGACTGGAGATAGATGATGTCCTATCCCTCCCCTTCTGTTGAGAGAGGGCTGTTCAGGTTGGACATAAATGCCTCTTTGATCCCTCTTTCAAATCAGCGGTTCTCTCTGTTCAAAATGTGGACTTTGCTGTCTTCAAAAGAGTGGCATTTGTGGACTGCTGAATCTAGTCCTGATGAGTTTGTTCTCCTGTGTTGTGCCATGCACTTATAGAGTAGTTATTTTGTTTCCCCAGTGTACAAATCTGCACATGGCTCACTGCATTGTACTGAATATACCACGTTGCTCAGTTTCTGTCTGGGTGTTTTATACTTGGGGTGGACGAGCTTCTGCCTTAGTATATTCTTGGGTTTGAAGTGTGCATGAATGTTATGTTGACTGAAGATCCTCTTGAGCTTTTCCGATATGCCTGCAACCTACGGAATGACAATGTTGCTTTGTTTATTGTTTTCCTCATTATGTGTCATGGAGGAGCTCCTGTAGGGTCTTTTTGGAGATTTGATGAAGGCCCACTTGGGATAGCTTCCTTAATGCGTTTCATTCTTTTTCATTCCCATTTTTGCTAGTAGGGAGCCCTTCAGCTCGGTGGTGTAGGGCTCTGCTGACTCCCATTTTGTGTTTCAGTGGGTGGTGGGATTCAAAATGTAAATATTGATCTGTGTGGGTGGGTTTTCTGTAAACTTAAGTGTCAAGGCTTCTCTCTTCCTTAATGTGTGCACAGTCCAGGAAGGCCAAACTATTTTCCTTAACATCTTCCCGTGTGAATTGGATGTATCTGTCCACAGAGTTGATATGTTTGGTGAACGCTTCCAATTCCTGTGTTTTGATCTTGACCCAAGTATCCTCCACATACCTATACTAGTGAGTGGGTGGAATTCCTGTGAAGAATTCTAAGGCTTTGGTTTCTACCTCTTCCGTGTTTGATCCTGATGACACAGATAAATCTCCAGGTGACCTTAACAACGAAAAGAATGCAAATGTCCAGCGGTCTGTAAGGAGTATAAATCCTTCCATTCCCCACCATCCAGTCAGAGCTGAAGAAGCTTCTTGGATGAGAAGGGAAATCTTCAAAAAAAACCAGAAAGTCCAGTTGCCTCTTGAAAAAGCACCTTATGACCTAGATGACTGAGAATCTACATGGACACTGCATGGTGCTAATGCTCATTTACAGCTAGTGGTGCCCAGTTGACCTTCTCTGGGCTCAGAACCTAAGCAGGCATGGGAGACCACCATGTAATTTCAGTTTGACTAGATCGACAAGTTTAAAAAAATGGGAAAAGTCAATGGCCAATCATGCCGTTATTCCTAAGAAATCTGCATGGCTGGGTCTCAATGAAATGAATCCAGCTCAGCTCAAATGGGGCCTGTTCATATGTCATGGCCTATATGACATGTTAATCAGGACATGTTTAGTTCATATTCAGTTACCCAGGATCATGAACGGATTACCTGCTTGTGCATTTGTTATATTTTTTAAATGTTTACTGCTGACTATAACTTGTCAGCTGTATATAACATGACATGCAAACAAATTAGCAAACAGAAATTACTGCTTACTTTCCATGCCAGAACTACAAAATTATTTTGAATTCTGGTTTTGGAGAAGAAGAAGTAAACAATTGTGCTTGTGAAAGGAAGACCTTGGTACAGTCTTTGACTGCAAGCGGAATACAGACCATTAGTGCAACTGGAAAAATGAAGAGCTCCATTTTGGTCATCTGGATATGAAACTTTCTCAGAGACTTATCAGGGACCCACTGCGTTGTTGTTTCTCCTATTTGTAGTATATGTAGCTACTCAGCATTAACTTTTATGGCTTATTGTGGTATGATTATTTTTATTTTGTATGTTGCTACACACAATTGTTTTCAATCATTAACTTTCAAATATGTGCATTAGAATTTATAGTCTCGTATTCCTGAAACAAATACTTTACCTTTTACAGAATTGTGTCTTTACCTACCAATTTAATTCATTTTTAATTTATTTTTTTTAAAACAACACAGGTACAAATTCTTCAGCTAAGCGTAGCACTTCATCTGGAAATAAGGAATCCAGCTCTTCTCGGGAAAGAATTCGTGACCGTTCGCGACCAACACAAAGCAAAAAACTGCCCCTGACTGGTCAGTCGAACAGCGATGTCCTTCTTGCAAAACGTTCCCGTAGCCGTGCCAGTCAGGATTCTGATCTCCGCATGAGCAAGTCAAAGTCAGACAATCAGATCAGTGATAAATCTGTTCTAGAGGCAAAAGTGAAAGATCTCCTGATGCTAGCCAAAACAAAAGACGTTGAGATCCTCCACTTAAGGAATGAACTAAGAGAGATGCGTGCTCAGCTGGGCCTTCATGAAGATCCGTTTGAGGGTGATGAAAAATCTGAGGATAAAGAAACAATTGTGATCCACCAGCCGACTGATGTGGAATCCACACTGCTGCATTTGCAAGAGCAAAACTCTGCCATACAAGAGGAGCTGAATCAGCTGAAGAATGAAAACCGGATGTTAAAAGATAGATTAAATGCCTTGGGTTTTTCTCTAGAGCAAAGGTTGGATAATTCCGAAAAGCTGTTTGGCTACCAATCTCTGAGCCCAGAAATAACAACTGGAAGCCACAGCGATGGTGGAGGAACTCTTACTTCTTCGGTGGAAGGTTCCGCTCCTGGTTCCATGGAAGATCTTTTAAGTCAGGACGAGAATACTTTAATGGACAATCAGCACAGCAACTCCATGGATAATCTAGATAGTGAGTGTAGTGAAGTGTATCAGCCACTCACTTCCAGTGACGATGCTTTAGATGCTCCCTCGTCTTCAGAGTCGGAAGGATTGCCAAGCATAGAGACCTCAAGAAAAGGGAGCAGTGGCAATGCCAGCGAAGTGTCCGTGGCTTGTTTGACAGAACGGATTCATCAGATGGAAGAGAATCAACACAGCACAGCAGAAGAACTTCAAGCAACTCTTCAGGAACTTGCAGATTTACAGCAAATTTCCCAGGAGTTGAACAGTGAGAATGAAAGGCTTGGAGAGGAAAAGGTTATCCTCATGGAATCTTTGTGCCAGCAAAGTGATAAGTTGGAACACTTTAGTCGACAAATTGAGTATTTCCGCTCTCTTTTAGACGAGCATCATATATCCTATGTTATTGATGAAGACATGAAAAGTGGACGCTACCTGGAGCTAGAGCAACGTTTTATGGACCTTGCAGAGAATGCACGTTTTGAAAGAGAGCAGCTTCTGGGTGTCCAGCAGCATCTGAGCAACACTTTGAAGATGGCTGAACAAGACAATAAGGAAGCCCAAGAGATGATCGGGGCATTGAAGGAACGGAATCACCACATGGAGCGAATTCTTGACTCAGAGCAGAAAAGCAAGGCCACCCTGGCGGCTACCTTGGATGAGTACAAAGCTACTGTCTCCAGTGACCAAATTGAGATGAACCGGTTAAAAGCACAGCTGGAACACGAGAGGCAGAAAGTTGCTGAGCTCTATTCTATACACAACTCGGGTGATAAGTCAGACATCCAGGACTTGCTAGAGAGTGTCAGGCTCGACAAAGAGAAAGCAGAGACGTTAGCTGGCAACTTACAGGAAGAGCTTGCTCGGACACGTAATGATGCCAACCGTCTCCAAGATGCCATTGCAAAGGTAAAGGTCCAAAAGTGTCATTGAATAGGAAGGCTTTCCCAGGTGTGTTGAAAGTGGGAGGCAGACAAATTACTTGGAAGCTTCTGTGAGCCACATATATAACCTCCCGGACCTGTCCTTTGGTTCTCCCTTAAATACCTAGGGCTAGTTGCTGAGCTGCTCAGCCCCTGGACAGATCCTGCTTCAGGACCATTCATTTCAAGGTTAAGCCTCACTTTCCCTCAGAATAATAAAGGTAGGAGTGCCGTCCTTATGTTTCAGCTCTGAGCTTTGAGTAGGTATACAAGCATAGATGTGTCCAGTGGTGATGAGACATTTTTCAGTAGCATGATAAGTACATTGGCCTGGATAAATATTGGAACTAACCATAGTTGTGTTTTCCACATCAGGGAGCATACATGATTCGCAGCTTGAAGGTGTGTGGACTTCAACTCAGGAAGGCTGAGTGCAAGGATGACTGGGGAATTCTGGGAGTTGCAGTCCACACATCTTCAAGTTACTAAGGTTAAGAAAGACTGCTCTTGTTCAAAGGGTTCTCAGGCAACTGGCAAAGGATAACAGCCGTGGTGGTGCAATAGTTAGAGTGCAGTTCTGCAGGCTACTTCTGCTACTTGCTGGCTGCCTGCAATTGGGCAGTTTGAATCTCACCAGGCTCAAGGTTGACTCAGCCTTCCATCCTTCCGAGGTGGGTCAAATGAGGACTCAGATTGTTGTGGGGCAAGAGGCTGACTGCTTGGAGACAATTATAAAGCACTGTGAAGCAGTGTATAAGTCTAAGTGCTATTGCTATTGTCAGGCTGACACCTCGGAAGGCCTAATGAAGACAGGAGGCCAAGCTGGAGAGATTCGGGTTCTCACGTTGATAGGAAGTTAATACCTCTTTACTGATTTGGTTATTGCAATATCTAGCATGACAGCGTATAGGGAGACTTCAGCCGAGATAGTTGGCATTCTGCAATGTGTAATACAAATTTAATCCTGGACGCAAGTGTTGAAATCTGTTTGGAAGAAGCAATTAGAGTCTGGCCATTTATCTTAAACCAGATAGAAGATGAGTACAGAGCTTTCCGAGAAGAAGCCAAAAAGCAAATTGAGGATCTGAACATGACCTTAGAGAAAATACGCACAGATTTGGAGGAGAAGGAAACAGAAAGGAGTGACATGAAAGAAACCATATTTGAACTGGAGGACGAAGTAGAGCAGCATCGAGCAGTGAAACTCCACGACAACCTCATCATTACTGACTTGGAGAGTAAGTATCCTCTGGGCTTTCCCTGGGACTTTTGCAGTTGTTTTTCTCGGGGTGGGGTGGGGTCAAGTTCTTACAACAATTAAAGCACCGCAAAAACAATAAGAAAATTAATTCTGTCCTTCCAATGCTTTCATTTTTGTTAGTGTTGTTATTTTCTAGTGGGGAAATACAGTAGTTGTCCCCAGTTTGACCATGATGCCTGAATTTGAATTAGTTTGATTGTGACAATGCGGCATTTTCATGAACAGCTTTCTCTTTTAGAAAAAGGGTTACTAGAGAGATGTTTTGTGATCTGGATGGGGAGGGCAGATCCATCAGCCCTCTTCTGCGGTTGGATCTTCCTTGGCACAGTTGAGATTGATTGTGGGATTGTAGTTGTACAAATTGTAATTAATTTTTATTGCTTTTTTGGTTGATTTCATATGACTTTATCCAAGAAGGGGCCTTGGAAGAAGATCTCTTTCAATAGCTTGCTGCCATTTAATACAGAATTATTTACAGACTTTTTTCTTTTTAAAAACTTTTATTTACACTATAGTGAAAATATAAAAGCAAGATGCATATAACCTACTTGAATTAAATTATCTAGGAGACTTTTCAAATAAATGCAGATCTTCTGGATGTAGTATCTTCTAATCCCACTGTGCTTTAAATATCAGGGTGTCATGAGAGAGAGAGAGAGAGAGAGAGAGAGAGAGAGAGAGAGAGAGAGAGAGAGAGAGAGAGAGAGAGAGAGATCTTTTAAATAAAGAAAATGTATGATCAAATCTGTAGATATATTTCATTTCATTTGTGAAAGAAATGCAGCATAGATGCAAATAAAATAGAGATGGCAAAGATGTTTATGAAATCAAGATTTTATAAAAATGGGAATTATTAACCTGCACTTTGAATAGAGGCAATATTATGCTTCACATTTTGAAATATTAAAATAGAGTAAGGGAATGGATTTGAAAACAGTTTTTAAGCGGACTAAGATTTTATCAACACAGCCCCAATTATTTTAGTATGGCATTGTAGAAAATATTGTCTTGAGAGAGCTTTAGTGTTAAGATTAGAGATTTGAAATTTACTTGGGGCAGCGGGATATGGAATGCAGGTAATTTTGGATAAAATGGATTATAGGCTTTTAAATGGGAGGGGATGTGGGAAGTGAAAGGTGAAATCAGGACATTTGACATGGGTCAAAATGGTGATAATTGGGGTTAGGGAAGTAGCAGAGGGTGAGGGTGAAGGAAGATGGTGGGGAAGAGATGTCAGACATTTTAGAGAAGCCATTTGGACAGTAAAGGAACTCTGGAACCCTGGGCACTCCATGCTCAGTGAGGCATCGTAAGGAGAACTGGCCTCCAGGCAGTTGAAGGACAACCTATGACACATGATTTACGGAGACAACACTGCCAGGAAGCATTCTTAGAATCTGCCAGGGAAAGTCGGACATTATTGTCCAAAGTGCTACAAAAGTGGAAGGGAGAGAGAGTGCAGCTTTGAGCTTGCAGGCTCCGGCCTGAAATGAAACTGAGAGGCAGGGATGGATGGATGGCCCAGAGTCTGGATAAGAAGACTGTGGAGTGCTGATAAGTGATGTGGAGAGAGGTACGTAGTCTTTGCTTGACTGGGAAGAATATGTAAGATGCTTTCTGTGTTGTGCTCTCCAGGAAGCGTTGGAGAGGGTTGGTGAGGGCACCCCCTGAGAAAAAGGAAGGGACCAGAAGGAGAGATATCTGGTAGGGTTGATGGGCACTTCCCAGCCTGAGATATTTGAGGAAGATTGGGGAGAATATTTAGTTTGATAGGCAGGCAAGGAAAGATGGGTGGTTGGAAGGAATGCTTATTGTGTATGTAATTAACCAGCCTATTCTGGGGAAGTGACCACCCAAGGTGGCTAACACTGGCAGAATGAGTGTAGTGCATGACAATAAGAGGACGGGTCCAGTTCCCTGGGTTGTGTCAGCCTTGCGTGGGAGTCCAAACAAGAAACACACCCAGATGAACTAATCCTACTTTATGGTGAGATTACATTAACAGAACCCCGCAAGTTCCCCTCCTCTCCTTTTAGTCTCTGGAAAAATAGGGAGGGTCCCTTCTAAAAGGCTTCCCCATTTAGAGATTGAGCTACCTCTTATCAGAGCTGCAGGTTTTCCTTTTGTCTCCCAAAGCTGTTCCACATACCATTACAGGTTGTCTGGATGGGGACCTGAATTGAAACCGTGATGGGCTGGGGAAGATATGACGACAGACGCAGGGTGGGCCATTCACAATTATTATTTTTTTAAATATTTTTTTTATTTTTATACATCTCATTGTGGGATGGTTTGATTCCTGTGTGTCATTCAGTTCAATGCCAATAAACAACAGCATTATTCCTAGTAATTATATTTCATTTCCATTTTTAGTTTTACTAGCACGTAATTTCTACTATCATCCTTCAATTCTAAATTGTCGGGTGCTGCTTCATTTAATAATCAGGAAAGAAACCACTCAACTCCATTTGTTTGAAATTAAGTGTACTATTACTAATTACAAATGAATAGTAGCAAAGTAAAGCTGAGTCTGGTTAATTGGGCGCGAAAGCAAAGAATATCATGTATAGGTCAATCACTTCCCTTTGGCACCCCAATCCATAGTCCAATTATAATTCACCCAACTGTCAGGTGGGAGATATCTTCAAAAACCATCATCAGGTTGGAATGCTGGACAATCAACCTTGGCGGGAAACTCCCTTCCTCCACATGTGCAATGAGATGGTCAGGACAGCTTCTAGAATATTCCTCCAGCACATAATGATTCCCCTCCCAAATACCATGCCCCCCCTCCCCGTTTCAATGGCAGCCGAAGCAGCAGCAAGGCAGAGGTTGACACCTGGTTGCATGACTGCCAAGCCACACCCACAAAATAAGCTACGCCCCCCAAATAAGCCAGGGCCACCAAACCGGTAATAAATTTTTTTGAAACCCATCCCTGAAATAAGGGTTACATTTAAGGGGGAGGTTTTTCCAACATTCCCCAAATACATTTTGCAACCTTTAATTCTGGAAAGTGACTGAAGTCTTAAAAAGGAACCAAACTACTGCCAAAATATCAAAGGGGTCAAGTAGTGACTTTTTAGAATGAGATTCATTTGGAACTAAGAATGGGGAAACCTGGGTTCTAATCCTCCTCTGCCACTGGATCAAATTTATGATGCTCACAATGTCCCGGGGTCACGTGATCCCCTTTTGCGGTCCTCTGACAAGCAAAGTCAATGGGGAATCCAGATTCACTTTTACAACCATGTTACTAACTTAACAAATGCAATGATTCACCTAAAACTGCAGCAAGAAAATTCATAAAATGAGGCAAAACTCACTTAACAAATGTTAACAAGATAAATTTTGGGCTCAATTGAGGTCGTAATTCAGCAACTACCTGTATTATCTGTGTGTAAAAAGCATTTTAATATTGTAAAGGAGGTGGAGAAGAAACTCACCTAAGACCTCTTAATCTTCTCAGGGCTCAACTGCAGAATCAAACTGTTCTTTGCAAAAGAAACAAAATGAGCAATCTCCATTCCCTTCCATTATAGCAAGTCCTCTATAGAAAAATCACAATGCTGATTCCTTGAAATGTTGTTATAAACATATTAAATGTGTAGCCAAACCAAATTAGACATCTAATTCAATCCCATATCAATGTTTGCCACCTTGCTTAAACAAGTAAGGATCTATCCGATATCTAAATACTTGTACAGTATTCTGCTTTCCTGTTATTTGAAGCTCTCCAACTTTTATTGCACACAATTGCATCATGGTTTCAATGATCAAGACACATTTCTTCAGAAGAAAAGAAACATCCTTAAACCCTTAGGTCAGCATGAGATTTTTTTTTTAAAACACCATTAAGAAAAAAACCTTATCTGCTGCAAAGCGTTCGGCTACAATATGGTGACAATGATAGAATTTTCTTTAGAGGTGTGATTTGTGTGAAAACTAATTCACAAAATAATTTATTGCCTACCCAACCTGAAATGTAGCCCAAGGCCAAATGTATGTATGTATGTATGTATGTACGTACGTATGTACGTACTGTATATACTGTATACATATACATATGTGTGTGTTTGTGTGTGTGTGTGTGTGTGTGTGTGTGTGTGTGTGGCTGGAATGTCTGTAAAGGAACTGTTTCCTCTCCCTTCTTCCATCTGTGTGAAGGAGCTGACTTTCACGAGCGTGAGATGGAAACCGGGTCCCACAGAATCCCTTTTAACCTGTAATTCATGAGTTTGGGTGTGCTAGAATTTTCTAGAATTTTCACCTCCCTATAGAAAAATATTACATTTTTAGGTACCCTGACACCTTACATGCACAACATAATCAGGGTGTTTTTAAAGGAAGCCAATGTAGCATTAAGATACATATTTGTCTAATTTAACATGCAAGGAAGCCTGTAGTAAATACAGGTTTCCTGGTATATATTTAACCCTGTTCTGGACATGATAAATGAAATGGAATAAATGTACATAGCCCATGAGATTTCTTTCCATGAAGCACTGGGAGGTTTCGGTCTTCTTGCTGTCAGCAGCCCATCTCTCTGCAAGGCACCTGTCAATCACAGGCAGCCTTCCTCTCCCTCCGGTCTGTACCCACAGACCGGAGTGGGAGAAATGCTCCTAGGCATCGGAGCAGCAGATGGAGTACATCTGTCAATCATTGTCACTAATTATTAACTTATGTCACTCAGAGCAAGGGAACATATCTCTACCACATCCTCGGTGATTTGAATTTGCTTTACAAGAGGCTGTTCAGCCTTACGATATTTGCCGTGTCCATCAGGCTTGGAGTGGGGGGATGTCATCCATGACTGTTCAGAAGGCCAGCTTGCCTTTCCCACCAGACAGTTCCGAGGAAGATAACTTGCCGGACCGTAGGTTTAGGTTAGGTTTATTCGATTTATATGCCGCCCTTCTCCCAAGGACTCAGGGCGGCGTACAACATTAAAAAAAAAACACATAATACAAAAGT